CCCCCCCCGCCGGCCGGGCCCTGGGCGCCACGTCTTCAGCACGCTGCCGAGGCCTGCGCCCGTTTGCAAAGCTAACCTGAACCCGCAGCTTGTTTTTAAAGACGAACTGCCTGGAGTAGCACTGAGCTGAAACCAAACCTGCCCAGGTGAGAGCCGTCCGGACAGGTCAGCGCAACGCTTTGTACGACAGGTACGCACAAAACCGTTGCAAGCACCACATCTCCTCGGGCTCCTTTTAAGGAGCTTTGTATCTTCAGAAAAACTCCTCGCCTGAGAAACTCCTTGACCAAGCGTGTCAGACTGGCAGAGGGGCAGCAATGAGGTAAAGGCAGCAACGACACATTCGGTGCCACAGAAAAGGGACCAAGCCCAACCAACAGCTTGAAATCCAGTCGCTTTCAAGCAGGAGAGCGCTCTCAGGAACATCGAAAATGGGCAAATGTGAGTTTGCTCTGGGATGCCTTTCTCAGGGAAGGAGCCAGGCCCGATACGTACCGCAGTGATGGACTGGGACGGGCTGGTCCAAAGCTCAAATCGGGGAGCTGCTCCGGGGCCCCTGCCCCTGGGCTCACGTCCATGCGCGGGGAGCGCGGGAGCCCCGAGGCGGGCACGGCGCGGTGCCGTTCCCGCTGCCTGGCCAGCGCGCCTCTCCTCGCGAAGGCAGGAGGCGAGAGGTCCGCACGCATCTGCTCTTTGGTACTTAAGAGCTGAGACTGCTAGAAACTTAGGTCGTCTGCGCCATCGTTGCTGCAGCGACGTCGCGCGCGCACCGAGAACTGGACCAGATGGTCCACGCGACTGTGCCGCCTCATCACGTTTCCAAAGGCTGGCTGGGGGACAAGGAGGACCGGGCAGCCGCACGCCTCCTCCTCCGCTCCCGCACAACGCGCTCTCGATGGAGGGGGGCAACTGTTAGCGGCGTCTAACGGAGCCAAGACAGAACAGGACTGACTCTGCCTATGGGCCCTAGCACACATCACAGCAGCTTTGGCAGAAATACAGGCACGGTGTTAAAGCAAAAACTGTACTCACCCTCTCCAGGTCTTGCCTGAGGTGCATGAAGAGCTTTAAGCGCCGGTAGAGAACATCCTGCTCTTGCTGGGCCAAGTTGTCCACTTCGTCCGTTTTTGGTGTCAGCAGCGGCTTGTTGGAATTTGCTTTCCTCTTCAGCTTCCAGTACTGATAGACAAAATCCACCAGCGATTCGCTTAAGTCAAGGTTCTCCGCCACCTCTGACGGCTTCACGAGTTCATAGAAGTCCTCCTCCAGCTGCTGGAGCTTCTGCTTCCGCAGCGTGACCTTCTCCAAGTCCAGCTGGGCTTGGTCGGGCTCTGTCCGCGCCTCCTCCGGGAGTTTGGTGGCGCCGGTGCTGTGCTCGAGGCAGAAGGACTTGAACTTCACTTCGTCGTTGTCCGCCAAAATAGTCCGCATGTCGAGGTTGTGGTCGAAGGCGCAGGTGACGTGGAACGCCGTCACGCAGGCGGGCATGGAGCACTGCGGAGAGGAGAGCGAGGGTTACGCGGCGCCTCCCCTCCCCGGCGCCCGCGGGGCGAGCGCCTCCGCGGAGGAGGAC